TATTGTTGTTATTCTTAGTTTTTTTCGGTAAAGTCACGTTGAAGGGAAACAACAAAATAATAAAATATATAAAAAACAATAAAATTCTCACGACGTTTCGACCATAACTCAAACGGTCGTCTTCAGGTGTGTTGGTAACCAACAGAATTTTTTTTATTTTTTATTGTTTTATATATATTTTTTATTATTTTGTTGTTTCCCTTCAACGTGACTTTACCGAAAAAAAACTAAGAATATGAATTACTGCAGTCACGAAAGCTTTAAATCAAAATTAATATTGTTGTTATTATAATAATAGGGTGGTTTCCCCCCCCCCCCCCCCCTCTCTCTTTTCTGGCAACAAAATTGAAACCTTTTTTTACGAGGATGAAATTCACGTCTACTGCATTAACCACAATACCTGCAGTCGAAATGCAAACATAAAAAAACTATACTATGATAATATATGATGCATTGTCCTTGAAACTGATTGGTCCACAATGCATCATATATTATCACAGTATGATTTTTGTTTGCATTGTAACTGCAGGTATTGTGGTTAATGCAGTGACATGAATCTTGCATTTTGACTGCAGGTATTGTGGTTAATGCTGTGACACGAATCTTCGTAAAAAGGTTTCAGTTTTGTTGCGAGAAAGAAGGGGAAAACCCCTATTTTTATTATATTTTGGTACTGGCAAAGGGAGGTCTAATGATGATGATTAATATCGTCTTGTTACACTGTGCTCATTGGTCGCGGCTCGTGCGTTTATTTATTTTTCGTGTCGTTGTGTTCGTCGTTGTTGTTGTTGTTGTTATCTCCGCAATGACATTACTCGTGACGATCGTGAAAACGCCCTTTAGTCTTCACCACGGCCACCGACGCGGAAACGCGGGGTTCTCGTGAGCGTGCCCGATTTCTAAACTATAACTTCGGTTAAATTTTGATTTGAAGCTCTCGTGACTGCAGTAATTCATATTCTTAGTTTTTTTTCGGTAAAGTCACCACGTTGAAGAGAAACAACAAAATAATAAAATATTTTGTTGTTTCTCTTCAACGTGACTTGGTTCGCACAACACACCTGAAAACGACCGTTTGAGTTATGGTCGAAACGTCGTGAGAATTTTTTTTATTGTTTTATATATATTTTATTATTTTGTTGTTTCTCTTCAACGTGACTTTACCGAAAAAAACTAAGAATATAACTTCGGTTATGAACTATTCTTTATTGTTTACATCAAATTTCTTTTTTTTTTGACCAGGTGTTAAGGACCCACTTCTGATTGAGCTGCCAGATGGTGGCTCTGTATTCGTAGTATTACACGCTTTTTTTATATTCTTGGCTCTTTCGGTAAAGTCACGTAGAAGGGACATAATGCAAAATAATACGAATGAAACACAATACAATTCTCAGGACGTTTCGATTGCAACACGAGCAATCATCATCAGAAAATGTGAGAAAAAAAATTCTTGCTGTGATTTTCACACCTGATGATGATAGCTTGCGTTGCCAATCGAAAGGTCGTGAGAATTGTATTGTTTTATATTTGTGTTATTTTATTACTTCCCCTTCTACGTGGTGACTTTACCGAAAGAACCAAGAATATGAATCCCGGTAGCTTCGAAAGCTTTAAATCGAAATTCACACGCTTTTATTTGACTCACTCTGTTGTTGGTGTCGTTGTTGTACCCTCAAATCTTGTAACTCAATTGTAACCCACTTCCCAGTGTGGTGTCGTATTGCGAACTTGGTATACTTATGCCATACTGATGACAATACTATATTGTATCATAATAACAAAAAAAATATTTTTAAACATTCTATTTTTCTATATACGTTATGTTTCGGCTTAATTGTCCACGCTCAGCTCACGTTGGCTGTAATTGGCCACGGTCCCCTTCCGTTGTGGCGAGCTTCGGGGCCACTTCCTACAGTTGCGAAGTTCTGCCATTACCAGTACGGTGCATTTAATGAAAGTGTGTTTTTTTTTTAAAAAAAGTTTCTTTCAATATCACTTATTTTTTTTTTGTCAGACGCGACCTGGGCTGCACGTTAATGACAGTGCCGGATGAAGCTAGTGCAGGGCCTGGAGGATATGTTGTTATAAAGGAGCCCTAAATGAATAAAACACCGCGCAAATATGAAAACACACATTTTTTTTTTACTTGCATAGTAAAGTAATTGTATGGTTTTTTTTTAAAAAAAATTTGCCATACAGCCGGATAATATGACAAATAGCTCACCTTTAAACACCCCTTGTCGTCCGTATAAGTTGCAGGGCGGTATAGTACTATATAGCAATAGAGCAAGTCCAGAGAATCCACGCCCTCTGGTTCTTTCGGTAAAGTCACGTGGGTAAGGAAAAAAAATCGACAAGAAGAACACGACGCGTCGGTCGCAACACGAGCGTCCGTCATCACCTGATGTCATCAGCTTCGAATCGCTGGACCGGAATTGATGGCTTGAAAGCGTTTAGCGCGGGGCCCTTGAGAAAGTGCGGGGCCCGTGGCTACGACATGTGTCGTGGCTGCTACATACGAGATGTAGCTACCTTTTGCCACTACGATAATCCGGCACTGATTAACGAGATAGTCAGCAAAGTGCCCACTTGGCCGTTCATCGGCGTCGTCATCGCGTGCAAATGCGGAGCAGCTAGCCAAAATGCTCTTCAACAAAGCGTGATGTGACGTTGATTCTAAATGTGGAGGGGAGTTGGGGGGGTGGGGGAAATAACCGGAGGACCTCGGAGACAAATCCACGCGACCACCGGGAGAGAGAGAGAGACACCATGAACTCCAAATGTACAGCAGCAGCAGCAGGCGTCGTCAGGGTCGGGGATCGAACCCACGCACTCCTGTACACCAGGCGAGGTAGTCAACATCTCCTAGCCACCGTGATGATGATGATGATGAGAGAGAGAGACACGCAGACTCCAAATATACAGCAGCAGCAGGCGTCGTCAGGGTCGGGGATCGAACCCGTGACCTCCTGTACACCAGGCGAGGTAGTTAACATCTCCTAGCCACCGTGATGATGATGATGAGAGAGAGAGAGACACGCAGACTCCAAATATACAGCAGCAGCAGGCGTCGTCAGGGTCGGGATCGAACCCACGACCTCCTGCGTATCAGGCGAGGTAGTCAACATCTCCTAGCCACCGTGATGATGATGAGAGAGAGAGACGCAGACTCCAAATATACAGCAGCAGCAGGCGTCGTCAGGGTCGGGGATCGAACCCGTGACCTCCTGTACCCCAGGCGAGGTAGTCAACATCTCTTTGCTACTGTAATTTTTAAACACGAGGGGGTGGGTGGCCAGCACCACGCCCGGCCGCCTTTGTCTCCCCAGTGGCGATGTTTACTACACACCGCACCAGGTACTCATTTGAGGCTGAGTGGACCTAGGGAAGGCCCAGGACCGGTTCAGATCATCGTCACTGGGTGTTGCTGGCCGTGTGCGGGAATCGAACTCGGGTCGCCGGGTTCGTAGCACAGCGTAGCGCTAACCGCTGCACCACCGCTCCCCAACAACACAGACACGCACACAAAGACAAAGATCCCCCGCATAGCCTTAACAAACTGGTTGGGGGAAGTGCTGTTAGCGAGTAGCACCTATGAAGCCCGGCACGGAACACGTTATACACACACACTCATTCCCAAACACACATACATACAAACACACGCATTCCCACACACACACACACCACATCCACCCACACACACACACACCACATCCACCCACACACACCACATCCACCCACACACACACATCCACTCACACACACACACCACATCCACCCACACACACACATCCACTCACACACACACACCACATCCACCCACACACACACCACATCCACCCACACACACACGCATTCCAACACACACACATACACATCCACCCACACACACACGCATTCCCACACACACACACACCACATCCACCCACCCACACACACCACATCCACCCACACACACTCGTGCCCACAAAGACAAGGACCCCTCCCCCCAGTATAGCCTTAACAGCCTGTTAGGGCAAGTGCACACAACAACAACAATAACAACAACAACAACCGCCATTCGCCACAAAGTGACGGTGACGTCCCCACGACGCTTGTGCCAGGCTAGGTGCACGTTAAGGCCACGTGAAGTGTCGAACGCCCGCCGGCAGGAGGTCACGGGGCAGACCCAGCAGGTGCCGTGGGTCGACTGACTGAGATGACACACGCACACGTGCCCACTCACACACACACAGTGTCCACACGTGTGCCCACACACACACACGTGCCCACTCACACACACACACAGTGTCCACACGTGTCCACACACAGTGTGCCCACACACACACACACAGTGTCCACACGTGTCCACACACACACACACGTGTCCACACACACACACACAGTGTCCACACGTGTCCACACACACACACACGTGCCCACACACACACACACAGTGCGCCCACGCTAACGTGGCCCACCCCCCCCCCCCTCAACCCGTGCCACCCCTCCCGGCAGGATCGCAAGCTCTCTCACACACAGACACGTGCCCCCACGCACACACACACGTGCACACACACACAGACACGTGCCCACACACACACACACACGTGCTCACACACACACACACGTGCACACACACACACGTGCCCACACACACACACACACGTGCTCACACACACACACACATAGACACGTGCACACACACACACACGTGCACACACACACACAGACACGTGCCCACACACACACAGACACGTGCACACACACACACACAGACACGTGCACACACACACACACGTGCCCACACACACACAGACACGTGCCCACACACACACACACACGTGCTCACACACACAGACACGTGCCCACACACACACACAGACACGTGCCCACACACACACACACGTGCTCACACACACACAGCGTGCGTACGCTAACGTGCCCCCCCTCCCCCACCCCCCCGCAACTCCCTCCTCGTCCCCCCCCTCCCCCTCAACCCGTGCCACCCCTGCCGGCAGGATCGTGAACTCGCTGACTCCGGAGGAGCGTCCGCTGTTCCGTGACCGGATCCGCTCGCTGGACAAGCGTCTCCACGTGGGGCTCAGCAAGCTGCATTGGTCCAGCCACGAGATCGCCGCCTTCTTCGTGATGGAGTGTCGCGCGCACAGCAGCAAGGTGACGCGTCTGTGTGTGTGTGTCTGTGTGTGCGTGTGTGTGTGTGTGTCTGTGTGTGTGTGTGTGTCTGTGTGTGCGTGTGTGTGTCTCTGTGTCTGTGTGTGTGTGTGTGTCTGTGTGTGTCTGTGTGTGTGTGTCTGTGTGTGCGTGTGTGTGTCTCTGTGTCTGTGTGTGCATGTGTGTGTGTGCGTGTGTGTGTCTGTGGGGAGCGATAGTGTAGCGGTTAGCGCTACGCTGCGCTATGAACCTGGCGACCCGAGTTCGATTCCCGCTCACGGCCAACACCAGTGACGATTATCTGAACCGGTCCCGGGCCTCCCCTAGGTCGACTTAGCCTCAAATGAGTACCTGGTGCGGTGTGTAAACATTGCCACTAGGGAAACAAAGGCGGTCGGGCGTGGTGCTGGCCACCCACCCCCTCGTGTACCGTTCCGGCCTTCATAGGTGCTCGCTAACAGCACTTGCCCCTACAGTCTGTTAAGGCTATATGGGGGATCTTTGTCTTTATCTTTGTGTGTCTGTGTGTGTGTGCGTGTGTGTGTCTCTGTGTCTGCGCGTGTGTCTGTGCGTGTGTGTGTGTCTGTCTCACTATCAGCACCTGCCCCAACAGTCTGTTAAGGTTACACGTGGGATCTTTGTCTTTGTATAGGGTTGCGTGTCGTCCAGGCTATGAGTCTCTGTGCGAGTCTATGAGTCTCCATGTGAGTCTATACATCAACATGCGAGTCTATGAGTCTCTGTGCAAATCTATGAGTCTCTATGTAAGTCTATTGATCTATTCGCGAGTCTATGGATCTCTATATGGGGGCGCCACGGTTGCGAGATGTTAACTACCTCGCCTGGTATACAGGAGGTCGTGGGTTCGAACGCAACATCGACGCCTTCTGTGTATTTTGAGTTTTCATGTCTCTCACTCTCTCTCCGACTCACCCCACCCACCCCGCCTACCCACACCACCCATAATCCACCCACCCACCCACCCACACCACCCAACCACCGACCCCACCAACCCAACCACCCACAACGCCCGAACCACCAACCCCAACCACCGACTCACACCAACCCCAACCACCCACCCACACCACCCAACCACCCACCCACACCCACCCACACCACCCACCCACACCACCCACCCCACCCACTCACCCACCCACCCTACACCACCCACACCACCCACATCACCCCACCCACACCACCCACACCACCCACCCACACCACCCACCCCACCCACCCACTCACACCACCCAACCACCCACCCTTCCACCCACACCACCCCCCACCGTGTATCTTTTTTGTCGCTGTTTTTATTATTTGGCCGAGTGCAAAAACTTGCAGGATCGGGAGAAAGAAGCGAACAGAAATATCTCCCAAGCTCAGTCTCCCCCTAACTCCCACACCACACACAGAGGGGGGGGGCGGGGGTAGCGTGTGGGATGTTTACAACTACAGTCACCCACCCACGCGCCCACCCACCCGCCCACGCACCGGTGGCTGTCGAGTGATGAGTGGCGTCCGTGTACGCTGACGTTTTTGTCAAACACAGCCGTGCCAGATTTACGTGGCCGAGGTCCGGGAGAATTCCCTCCCCCAAACCACCACCCCCACGATCACCACTACCACCACCACCACCCCCACCATCACCACCACCACTACCACCCCCACCACCACCACTACCACCACCCCCACCATCACCACCATCACCACCATCACCACCACCACCATCACCATCACCACCATCACCACCATCACCACCACCACCATCACCACCACCACTACCACCACCCCCACCCCCACGATCACCACCATCACCACCACCACCACCACCCCCACCACCACCACCACGGGCAGATGTCCACGGAGACGTCTGCGGTTGTGGTGGCGGTGGTGGTGGTGGTGGCGGCAGCGGCGGTGGCGGTGGTGGCGGTGGTGGCGGTTGCCGTGTTGGTGGTGGCGATTTCTCAACGCGGATGCGGCGTGCCTTTCGTGAGACGGAGGGGTAAAGACAAAGATCCCCCTTATAGCCTTAACAGACTGCTGGGGGCAAGTGCTGCTAGTAGTAGCGCGTAGCCGCAGCAGCAGCAGCAGCGCCTAGGAAGGCCGGCAACTGTGGCATCGCTCGGGGTCATTGCCGGGTTCGTCGCGCAGCGCGCTAACCGCTGCACCACCGCTCAACTTTTAACAGACCGCACCACCACCACCTTCGCCGCCACCGCCGCCAACGCCACCACAACCTCCATCACCGCCACCGCCGCCACCACCACCACCACCCAACAACACCACCACCACCACCCAACACCACCACCACCACCACCCAACACCACCACCACCAACACCACCACCCAACACCACCACCACCCAACACCACCACCCAACACCACCACCCAACACCACCACCACCACCGCCGCCACCACCACCACAACCTCCATCACCACCACCGCCGCCACCACCACCACCACCCAACACCACCAACACCCAACACCACCACCCAACACCACCACCACTACCACCACCGCCGCCACCACCACCACCACAACCTCCATCACCACCACCGCCGCCACCACCACCGCCACCACCACTACCACCAACACCACCACCGCCGTCACCACCACAGCCACCACCGCCACCACCGGCACCACCACCGCCACCACTACCACCACCGTCACCACCGCCACTACGACCTAACCACCACCCTTCATGCTCTTGCTCTCTCTCTCTGTGTTCGCCCCTCATTCCTAGAAAGAGTCAAACCATGGGGGGAGGGGGGGGGGGTCAGGGAGCTGAGCGCTCGCTCAACAAGCGCAGCGAGCGAGCGAGAGATTCACGCGTGGCGGCTGTGAAGTGACGGCTGTTACGGCGTGTTCGTGTTCCGTGTGGTGGTGGTGGTGGTGGAGTGGTGGGTGGCAGTGATAGGTGGTGGTGTAGTTAACATCGCCACTGGGGGAGACAAAGGCGGCCGGGCGTGGTGCTGGTGACCACCCACCAGCTCGTGTGCCACAGTTACCGGCCTTCATAGCTGCTGCTGCTGCTGCTCGCTAACAGCACTTGCCCCTACAGCCTGTTACAGGCTACACGGGGGATCTTTGTCTTTGTGTGTTCATAGCTGCTGCTACTCGCTACTACTAAAAAGCACTTGCCCCTACAGCCTGTTACAGGCTACACGGGGGATCTTTGTCTTTGTGTGTTCATAGCTGCTGCTACTCGCTACTACTAAAAAGCACTTGCCCCTACAGCCTGTTACAGGCTACACGGGGGATCTTTGTCTTTGTGTGTTCATAGCTGCTGCTACTCGCTACTACTTAAAAGCACTTGCCTCTACAGCCTGTTACAGGCTACACGGGGGATCTTTGTCTTTGTGTGTTCATAGCTGCTGCTACTCGCTACTACTTAAAAGCACTTGCCTCTACAGCCTGTTACAGGCTACACGGGGGATCTTTGTCTTTGTGTGTTCATAGCTGCTGCTACTCGCTACTACTAAAAAGCACTTGCACCTACAGCCTGTTACAGGCTACACGGGGGATCTTTGTCTTTGTGTGTTCATAGCTGCTCGCTACTCACGGCACTTGCCCCTACAGTATGTTGAGGACTATCCGTGGGATCTTTCGTCTTTGTTATCTTTGCGAGTTACCTTTGTGAGTGTGTGTGTGTGTGATTGTGGACGGCCGGATAGATAGATTGGGCGCTAAACTGGCGGGGCACGGGCTAGAGAAGAGCCGTAGTGACGTGGTACAGGAGGACGTGGAGCTGAGTGGACTTGCCGATGAGTGGTAACCAGCGGTGTCAAGATCGGCCTCTGTGGAGGAGGAGGTTCGCGAAGGACGCTCCTGCTGCTGCTACTGGGTAGCTTGGAGGCGGTCGCCCCTCCAGCAACCAACAACGGAGGGCCGAGGAGCGACGCTCACAACAACGAGCGGAGCGCCGTGGCGGATAAAACGCAGCGGGTTCCGCGCGGTGGTGGGCACAGCGTGGTGGTGCTTCTGCCAGCAGTCATCTCGGTCAGTCGACCCCATGGCACCCACCCGCTGGGTCTGCCCCGTGACCTCCTGTCAGCGGCGAGCCTCCGACACTCGACGTGGCGTCGAGAGTGCACTTAGCCTGGCACCGGTGCCGTGGCGACGTCACCGTCACTTAGTGGCGAGTGGCGGGTAGTGTAGCGATCTACCGCTCCCCTAGGTCGACTCGGCCTCGAGCGAGTAGCTGGTGTAGCGGTGCGTAGTGGACATCGCCACCGGGGAGACAAAGGCGGTCGGGCAGTGGTGCTGGCCACCCAGCCCCTCGTGTGCCGTGCCGGGGCCTTCATAGGTGCTGCTCGCTAACAGCACTTGCCCCAACAGTCTGTTAGAGGCTATACGGGAGATTTGTGTTTCCAAATATACAGCAGCAGCAGCAGGCGTCGTCAGGGTCGGGATGGAACCCACGACCTCCTGCACACCAGGCGAGGTAGTCAACATTTCCTAGCCACCGTGATGATGGTGATGATGATGATGAGAGAGAGAGAGAGACACGCAGACTCCAAATATACAGCAGCAGCAGCAGGCGTCGTCAAGGTCGGGATGGAACCCACGACCTCCTGCATACCAGGCGAGGTAGTCAACATCTCCCTAGCCCACCGTGATGATGATGATGATGAGAGAGAGACACACACACGCAGACTCCAAATATACAGCAGCAGCAGGCGTCGTCAAGGTCGGGATGGAACCCACGACCTCCTGCATACCAGGCGAGGGGGTGTGTGATGCCCACACAACCGGTGATCTCCTTGCTCGCTGCTTGATGCTGCCGCCGCTGCTTAGCGATGTTGACAAAACTTGCCGGCAGCGATACTCGCGTAAGGGCTGAAGTCGACCTATGGGGAGTCCTTCGGTCGCTGGGTTCACGCAACAGTTGCTTTGCGACAGGTGGCTGAGTGGGTCACCGCAAAGTTGCCACACACACACACGCGCGCAGAGACAGAGGGAAAGATGACCCGTGTAGCCTCGAACAGACTTATTTATTTGGGGGC